CTAAATAGAATAAGAATAAGCAAATTTCACTTTTAGTCACCGATTGTTGCAACATTACTACATTTAGTCCTACTTTTTAAAATTTTATTTCATTATACCCATAACTTTAATTTCTTTACTGCAGTTAGTCATTCATTTAAAATTTTGTCATTCTAGCGTTTAGTAAAGATATGACTAATATGTAATACTGTGTATTATCTAAGGAGGCCTGTTCTCGTTCCATATCTAGAAAATATTAAAAAAATTATTAATATCTGTTGATTATAGTTCGACAATATATGTAGGCAACTTAATTTTAGTAAATTTTTTTTTTTTTTTTTTGAATGTTACTAGCTCTATTACATTGTAGTATCTGTTCATATACTTTCTCAACCTACTGAAACACAAAGAGCTAATAACGCCTCCACTGAAGCTCGAACTCACAACCTTCCAAATGGAAGTCCAACCCGGGTACCATTGGACCACATAGTCCTGGTAATTTTAGTAAATTTAAGTGTAAGTCTTTTTTTTTTTTTTTTTTTAGTTTAACATTAAAGTTTTAATATTTGATGTAACCATTTTTAAAAAAATTCTAGATGAAAAAATTAATTGTTGAATTTGGACCCTTTTAAAATAGAAACTAGAATTTTTTTTTTTTTTTAAAATCCAACTAGAACCGACGGTTCAACCAGAACTGCCAATTCAGAAACCAGAACCTTTATATAAGGTTCCAGTTCGACTATTTTTGGAATCAGAACCGAAACCATGGTCAATCCTAGAATTACGGGCCTACTTTCTTGAGCCCAATTTTTAGTATTAATTATTAGGCTAAAGTGTCATCCCGCACCATGAACCATTCTTGATTATTCATGCCGCACCATGAACCATTCTTGATTATTCATGCCGCACCATGATCTTTAATAAGTGATATTTAGAGCCATAAGCATAATATTTTTTTTTCGTCTAGAAATTTTTACAGATTACCAGTAATAATATTGCTGACATGAAATTTTTTATTAGTTTTTTTGAGTATTTTTCTTCTTTCGCCTTCGTATTATAATTTTTTTCGTATTTTTATTTTTTCCTAAACGTATAGGCCTGCTCTGCGTTTTTGACTTCTCGTTTCTCCGGTACTAAACTCCGCAGAGCAGGCCTATATAGAGCATGCCTGATTGGAGAAACGAGAAGCGAAAAACGCAGAGCAGGCCTATATGTTTAGGAAAAAAGAAAATATGAAAAAAAAATAATAATATGAAGGTGACAGAAGAAAAATACCAAAAAAAAACTAACAAAAAATTTCATGTCAGCAATATTATTACTGGTAACCTGTAGGAAACCTGTAAAAAGTTCTAGGCGAAAAAAAATTTATGATTTATGGCTCTGAATATCACTTATTAAAGATTATTGTGCGACATGAATAATCAGGAATGGTTCATGGTGCGGGACGACACTTTAGCCAAATTATTATGGACCTAAAGGGCATTCGCGTCCCACAGTCCCCATTATAATTACCCGCCCCCGTTATTAGTTTGAGTTAATTTTATTTTTATCTTAAATTTGTAGGTGGTAGTTCACTTTTAGCTTTTTTTTTTTTTTTTTTTTTTTTTTTTTTTTTTTTTTTTTTATAACATCCTCATTTAGTCTTAGTATTATTGTAGCATGACCATTTTTAGTCCTTTTTTCAACAAAATTATTGAACTATCGTTAAATACAAAGACATTTTAATTTTTTAAAATATTTTTTATGTTTAGTTTTTTGAAAAATTCATAATTGAAGATCGAAATGTCCTTGTATTTAACGATATTTAAATTGTTTTGTTGATAAAGGACCAAAAATGATTATGTCACAATAATACTAGAACCAAAAATTGATGTTCTAATAAAAATAGATTTAAAGTGGATTGACATCTATAAATCTAGAATAATAAATGGAATTAATTCTAAATAGTTTTATCTTAAAATTTTCAATTATATAAGTTTGGTTCAATAAAACCATTAAATATATAAGAATATTTTTACCATTATAAAAATTTAGCTACTCGTGATGAGACATAAATAAATAGCTAATGCCATGGCCCATGGGATTTTGGGAATAACTATTCACATTGCCACTGCACGTTACAGACAATGGCATACATTTATCTATACAAGAATATTATTTAATTTTGAGAGCTTATTTCGTGAACCTGTTGTTTGAACTTATAAATATCATTAGCTTTAATTTTATAAAAAGATAATCTTGAAATAATTTGATGTTAAATAGTATACACCTAACAAAACTAGTGAGTGTAGAAAGAACGCAAACAGTGAAAGAGGCGTACCAATCACACCCAAAATTAAAGTGCTTTAGTGGAGTCAATCCCTTAACCTAAGAAAGCGTAACGGTAAAACTCCTAGTCGGCTAGTGGTTTGTTGACAATTATATAAACCCAATTCCACTTTATGTATAAATCTTTAATTTAATTATTTAGTAAATTGAAATCGATCAAGTCTGGTATGCCAAAGGCTTTGTGGTCGAGTGGCATAGCTGTGATTTTTCAAATGAGAGGTCTCAAGTTCAAACTCCAGTACGTGTGGATTACGATACTACATTGTAACAGAGTCAGTAGTATTAAAAGTATTTAACGATATTTAAACTCTTTTGTTGATAAAGAACCAACTATGGTTAAGTCATAATAATTGTAGGACCAAAAGTAGATATCCTAATAAAAAGAACTTAAAAATGAACTGTCACCTATAAATTTAGGACCAAAAATTGAATTAACTCTAACAAAGTAATCAATTGATGCAAGTAAGTGTTAATGTTCGATCTATGTATGGATTTGACGGGCACTTAACTAGATAACTTCCCAATATTTTTTTTTAAAAAAAAATGTTATTATTTCTTTGTAGCCAAGAAACTAGAAATACTCAAATACGGAGTGTATAGGTAACAATTGACACACACGTTGAGCCAACGATAATTTTGCATGTGTTAACTGTTAGAGACAAAATTAGTCAAAATAACGTCTTTTAAACTTTGTAGAAAATTCTTTAATTAATTCCAACTACATGTCTACATCTAATGTTAGACCCAAACATGCACCAAGAAGAGGTCAAAACTTTGGAAAGATGTTATTTGTACAAATTAAATTTTTAATTAAATTAATTTTGTACTATTTGATTTAATTTTTCATAACTGTCATTTGTCATTACCTTTTCAAGCTATATATATATATATATATATATATATATATATATATATATATATATATATATATATATAAAATCTAAAAACATAATAAGTGTTGATGAAGGTTATACCCTTCATTTATGTCTGTTTTTTCCGTTAAGTTTTATGAAACATTATGCTATAAATGTTGTACTATACAATATTTTGGACAAACATACCCCTACCGTTATAACTTCTGTTATCCTTTCCACTATTGCTATAATGCACATGCATCCACTATACATTTTCTTCTTCTTATTATTATTATAATTATAATAATAATAATAATAATAATAATAATAATAATAATAATAATAATAATAATGTAAAACATTTCTATAAATTTAATATTTATATTTTAAAGAAATAACTAATTAACATATAATTTTAAAGAAATAACTAATTAACATATAACCCCAATATTAATATACTATTATTATTATTATTATTATTATTATTTGCAATAATTTAAAAATAAATTTAAAATTTTAATATAAAATATTAATATTGGGCACCTATTTTTTGCGCATCGCGTACATATATATATATATATATATATATATATATATATATATATATATATATATATATATATATATACTGATCCCGTGCAGCTAGTGCTGATTGTACAATTTGGTATGCATAAATGCACCATATAGTGTTCGAAAATGTATCAGAATGAAATGTACAAATGCACCACACACAAAAAAAACATGCAAAACACATAATGGTGCATTTTCGAACACTTTGTTGTGCATTTATGTATACCTAATGTTGCGTGACTACCTAGAAAGCACTGTCTGCACGGAAACCTGACCTTATATATATATGGGCAATTAAAAAACTATTCCTAATAATTCAAATAACTAATACCAAGTCCTATGAACTACTGAACTAGTATCCTTCTGGTAACTCAATAGGATAACTCAAGTGACAAATCTCTTTTTGAGGAAGAATTTTGAGATAATGCGAATTCGATTCGCACAAGTGACAATTCTCCCTGGGCCAGCTTCTGTGCCTCTCATCAGAGCGAGCGAGGATTAATCGGGTCGACCCGGACCATAAAAACGACAGAGAAAGACCCTGAACTATAAAAACGACAGAGAAAGACCCAGAACACCTCGGTGTTTACACAAAAAAATATCTTTCTTGTAAGGGACATAGCCCATATATTCTTGATAACTGCTACCTAATAATGAAATACATCTATTTAAAAAAAAAATACAATTGTATTTCATGCTTATTTCTAGAATAATCATACATGTTGTAAGTGTTATATTATCCTTACTTATCATATTCATAAACGAAGCTACACATATAGTACGACTTGCGATAAGGGTTATACTCCGTAATAATTTATTTTCATATATATATATATACATCACTTATCCGTAAATTGATTAATTTTATCACAAATTAATCAAGTTATATAGCATTTAAAGCCAACATTTATTTCATACAAAATAAAAACAAAAATATACTATTGAGTATTGACCATCCAACTTTTAAAGTACGCTTTTCTATTTTGTTTGTTTCTATGTTTCCTGTCAAAATCAGACAATTTCAACTTCAACATTCCATACGGAATTTTCCCTTTCAATTCCCTCTTTGAATTTTTTAACTTAGTAAATTGAACAAAACTTTCCAAATTCACACGGGATCAGTCCACAAAATCCTAATTCTTCTCCTCCTATAAATTATCTCACTTTAGAACTTAGAACCACCATGCATGCATAAACTCCTACACATCTATAATATTTCATTTCGATCTTCAATTCATCAAACAAAAAAGTACGTTCGAGAAAACGAAAATGCAGCGATCAATTATCACAAGCCTAGTGTCGAAGTGTGGAGCTCCGATGGTGAACAGAGCCATGCGGCGGCCGGCGGCGGCGCCGGCGACGTGCGTCGACGTTTTCATAAACCACAGAGGCATAGACACGAAGCGGACGGTGGCGTCGCTGCTGTACGACCGGCTGGCCCGGTTCAGAATCCGGTCGTTCTTGGACAACAAGAACATGAAACCGGGCGACAAGCTGTTCGAGAAGATTGACGGCGCCATCGCCAAATGCAAGGTGGGCGTCGCCGTCTTCTCCCCGCGCTACTGCGAGTCCTATTTCTGCCTTCATGAATTGGCGCTTTTCGTGGAGTCCAAGAAGAAGGTGATCCCCATCTTCTGCGACGTTAAGCCGTCGGAGCTGCGGGTAGTCGACAATGGGACCGTTCCGGTTCACGAAATCGACCGGTTCAACTCCGCCCTAGAGGAGGCCAAGTACACCGTTGGCCTTGCCTTCAACTCTCAAGAAGGGTAAGTTCATATAGGCAAAACGATCCATCTTATATTATGAATTCTGGTCTAAAATAATATTCGGATTTGATTTATATAATACGTTAACATGCACATAATATATTAATTGCAGGAACTGGTCAGATGTTGTCACAAATGCTGCAGATATTGTAATTGAGAGTTTGATAGAGATAGAGGGGGAGAAGCAAATGGCAAAGAGAATTACTGGGATGTAGGAGACTACCAATCTACCATTCATTTCATATATACATTTGGAGAGCCTATTGATTTGTTCTTTGATTATTTATTTTCATTAATGTTTTAGAAAAAAAAAAAGTTTCATTAATGTTTTTAGAGAAAATTAAAATTTTCTCATGCTAATTTTAGATTGAGGAGAGCAGAGACTAATGTATAGTAATGCTCGTGTGTCACATACATTTTTTTATTCTTTAATTTCCTCAACTTTGTATTAATTATGTAAAAATAATGGGTAAGGAAATAAAATGTTTAAAATGATGTGGTTTGAATTTATATCGGGTCGTTTTGAAAACAAGAAAATGATTTATGGAAAATGAGTCATTTACTATAACACATTTTTCTTTCCTGTGTTTGGTTGTACAACAGAAAACTGTCTTTGTGTGTTTGGTTCATTTGTCAGAACATGAGCATAATCAAGGTTATTTTCCACAACATAATCAAAACTTGAAATTAGCACAAAAAACTCTAGAGACAAGTCATTATCTTCTATATTAAACCATTTTTTAATACTACTGAGTACTGACTCTATCACAATGCAATATCTGTTCATAACTACTTTCTCAACCTATTGAAGCACAAAGAGTCAATATCGCCTCCACTTAGTCTCGATCTCACAACCTCCCTTATGAGGGATCAACTTCTATATTAAACCATTAGAATTCACAAACAAAATGGGAAAAAAATTCACCACTGGTATTTCTGTAAACAAAGGATCTGAAGAAACCAGTCGGCCAGGCTGCTTTCACTTTGGAAACCAGTCGAGAAGTTTCCGGCTAGGAAACCATTTTAGATGGTCATATTTGGGAAAAAAAAGTCATAAAAAATAATTTATGACTGAAAAAAAGGAAAAAGAAAAAAAGAAGAAGATGAAGAAACATACCTGGTGCTAAGAAGATGGCAAGAAAATAAAGAAGTAGTTGGTGAGGTGAGAGTAGAAGATGAGGTTAAGGTGTGAGGGCATAGGCGTGATCTGTAGGGAGGGATGTGACGTGGTTGGAAAATGACTTCTCCAAAAAAAGGCACTCGAAAAATCTATACTGTAGATTCATAATTTCTATACTGTAGATTCATAAAATCTATACTATAGATTCATAATTTTTAAATCGTAGGTATATAATTATTTAAATACAGTAGATTCATAATTTCTATACTGCAGATTCATAATTTTGTATTGTAGATTCATAATTTCTAAACTGTATAGTTATCAGATTATGAACATATAGTTATGTGATTTGTGAATACAGAGTTCAACAATTAGGAATATGAACATCGAAAATTATGAATATATAGCTCTATAATTATGAATATATATTTATAAAATTATTAATTTACAATATAGAATTTATGAATTTACACTATACAAATTATGAATCTAGATCCGTGTGCACCATGCATGATGCACACAGTTGCACAACATAATTTTAGGGTAAGCCTAAGTCATATAAGTTGTTATATTATAGACCGCGGTGCATAATCGATTATGCACCGCGGCCCATATACGGCGCCGTTTCTTTAAGTAAAGAAACGGCCCGCCGTTAGAGTTAACGGAGTCCATTTGTTTGGTGTATTAAACACTAACTGACACTACAGTATATCCAAACCGACACTGCAGTTATATCAAAATGATACTATAGTTATAGTGAAATGAAACTGCAGTGTATATAAACTGAAACTGAATAACATTTCACATATTTGAGTGTATATTGTACAATGAAGCTGTAATTATATCAAAATGATCATGTAGTTGTGTTTTAATAAAACTATAGTGTATATAAAATAAAATTAAATAACATTTTCACATATTTGAGTCTATAAAATATCGAATGAAACTATAGTTATATCGAAATGAAACTGTAGTTGTGTTCAACTGAAACTGCAGTGTATACAAAATGACACTGAATAACAGAGTTACTTTTTGTAAAAGGGTGCGAAACGGCAGAAATAAACACTGTTAATTTTCATTTAAAAAAAAAAGACGCGCGGTGCATAATCGATTGCACCGCAGTGCATAATATAATTTGCCAAGTCATATAAGTTAGGCCTTGTTTAATGTGACCCAATCTATTCCTAATAAAAGCCCGTTCCATTCTCAGAAACTATGACGGGCAACTTTAGAGCGATCGGGCTTTAGAAATGAACTGTATTGATCGTTCAAACAAAATTCCACAAAGATTTATATGTATATTATACACTTTGATCAGTTCTTATACCATGGACTAGGGTCCACCTTAACACCTTTTGACAATTTGTATAAATACAATACATGATCATTACAAATTGTGAGCTTCTAAAAAGTAAATTATGGACATTTAGTATATAAATTATATATTTTTGGATCGAGATCCACCTTACAAGATTGATTTGGGTCCACAGATAATTTGCCCACTTTGATTTTAAATTAAATAATAGGCTAAATCGAAACCAGAGTAAGAAACTCGGAAATGTTCAAACTATCCAATCAAAATTAAATGGGATAAAGTACAAATAAGCCACTGAACTATTTGAGAAAGAGCAATTAAGCCATCGAACTCAAATAATCCCCAAATAAGTCACTGAACCCGAGAAAAAAAAGCAATTGACATTTTTAACAGGTTACCTTCCCACTTTTGCTGACTGGGTTGCCACATATTTATTTTATTTTATTTTTCATTATTATATTATAATCTACATGGATTAATTTTAAGCAAATTTTCAAATTAAACATCCAATGCTAAATTATCTCTCCCTAATCGCGACTTCAATTCTAATTTTCCTCTCCTAATTAAAGGTGTGCATTTGTGACTGATATTGAAGAACTATGTATACACTTAAATTGAAGATTTTGAAAACTTTTGAGGCCGTAAGTAAAAAACTTAAAATGAAATTTATATTAAATTTCATAATCAAAGTGTACAAAAGAACTAATACATTACCAGTACTAGTTAATTGCACAAAGAACAAATACATCAATATGTATTGTTAATTGCAAAAAAAAAAAAACAAAAACAAAAAAAAAAAAAATTCTACATCAATATTAATTGTACTGCATTGATTGTGCTTTCAAAATAAAGTATTGTCATAACAGCTCAAGTTTCATTCTTCAATGTGCTTCCAAAAGAAACTTCCGCCATAGCAAACCATGTTGTCAATCTTGTTCTTCTACATGTGGTGGTTGGTTTGATGGAATGTTACCAGGCTACAAAAATTAAAAAAAAAAAAAAACACACATATATACATTAAAATGAGTTGCTAAGAATATTTAACAATAAATATTGTGTCCAAACTTACTGTTGAAGATACAGCTCCACCGGAAGGACACTTTAGTCTATTATGTCCTTCTTGTCTACAAATGCAACACCGCATAACTCAACCCTTCCTACTTAGTCGAGTCTTCTTGCTACTAGTTGGTGGACCTTCATTTTCTTCACGATTTCTTTTCTTCTTTGGCCTACCTGACATTTTCCTGGGGATCGGAGCCAATATTTCCTCATAAGTAGTTTTAGGCCAAAAGAGTTCTCCATTAATAGGCTGAAGGGCATGTGCATAAGTCCTTTGATATGCTTCCTTTGAGTAGCATGGGTCAAGGTAATCCTCAATGTTCCTCCCCTTGTCAAAGATGACACATATAGCATGAGCACAAGGTATACCACTCAAATCCCATGCTCTACAGGAACATGTCCTACTTTCAAGCTTGACTTTGAACTGATGTCGCCCTTTCTTAATCTCATATCCATCATCTCCATTAAAATCAACCTAGCAAGACAAATTATCATTCCAATTTAAGATAACATCATTTAATTTCATATTATTGAATAAACATTAGAAATAACTAACCTTCCATCCAATGCTTTCCTTTTTATTTGCAGTCACTTTCTTCATTATAAATGGTCCATATCTACCTTTCCAAGTGTCAATAGATTTCATCTTTCTTGCAATCCTTCTCATAGAACCTACTCGAATGTCTTCAAGCATAGGAATAATTGGCTTGCATCTTGCCTTCACCAATGTTCCATTGAATGCCTCACAAAGGTTGTTATCTATAATGTCACATTTCACTATGGTTCTTAAATACGCCTTGCACCAAAATTTAGGAGGATATCGTTCTAGATCAGTTTTAGCATCTTTGTCTCTCATTTCTAAAGCTTTAAGTTGTTCATGAAATTGTCCTTCTGTTGTTGACTTAGCGCACATCCAGAAGTGGTTCTTTAAAACCTTTCCTTTATGGCGCTTACTCCAATTTGCATGAATATGTCTTGCACAATTACGATGCTCTGAATCAGGAAATAACTCTTGGATAACAGTAGTTAAACCCTGAATAAAAAAACAATATAGTTTATAGTTCAAAATTAAGCAATAGAGTTGACAGACTCATATAGCAGTGAATACAATTAAACATAGTTGATTATTACTATTATATGCAATTAGTTAGTGGCTACATAGTGACAAAAATAAATGTTAAGCAGTGTACAGAAATACCTTCTGCTGGTCACTGATAATGGTCTAGGGGTATGTGTTGGTGATTCCCAAATCATTTTTAAGCAGCTTGAGAAACCATCTCCAAGAATCTGTGTTCTCAATCTCCACCACAGCCCATGCAATAGGGTACATCTGATTATTTGCATCTCTTCCCACTGCAGTTAAAAGCTCTCCCTTAAGCAACCCTTTAAGAAAACACCCATCTAGTCCAATTATCCTCCTACATCCATCCAAGAAACCCCTTCTCAAAGCCTCAAAACATACATAAATTCTTTGGAAAACACAAGGACTCTCAGGTATAACCCTACTGGTTTTGAGAAGAACTTTGCTGCCAGGGTTAGAGTTCATACACTCTTGTGCATAGTCCCTTATTCTTCTAAATTGATCCCCAAAACTTGCGTTAATTTTTTTTAGCACTGACCTAATTGCTCTTGTAACTTTGCTAATACTTACATTGATTTTCAATTCAGACTCAATGTGGTTTTTCAACTGTACATGCCCAATGCAAGGATCATCTCTAATTTTGTCCTCATATTTTTCTTCTATCCATTTTTGACTCACCAAACGCAAACTAAACTTTTGATTGCATTTATGTTCTGCCTCAAGAGTCTTTAACTGAAAACATTCATATCTCTCCTCCCATGAAGCAGTGCAATGAAATGGGCAGCCTTTACCATTAGTTGTCTCAACACCAGCACATTTATACATCACTCTCATAGGATCATTTTTATAATAGCATATATCCCTCTTAAAATGCACTGCGTAGTCAATCATTGCATTCTTAAACTGTCGTGCATCAAGATAAAGCATCCCTAACTCTAACTCATGACATTCTGTAGTAGGATTGTACGATGGATGCTTACAATTCCCCTTTCCTTTACTAGGTTGTTGCGGTTGTAGTTGAGCTTCCTCTTCCTCTATATCAAATTGGTAACTAGGTGGATTATCGGAGTCATAGTATACACTCTCTACCTCCACACCATCAAAGGTCACCATCCACATATATTTGTATACAAAAATCCATGGTTAGAACTACATACCTGAACACGGCTTTCGTACTATGCACTCCTCACCGCTCGCACAAGTTCAACGACTCAATGGTAGCGCTTCTCTGGAGAGAAAGGAGCCATACGTGAAGGAGAGGAAGATCAGAAGTCGCGAGATTAGGGAGAGATAATTTAGGGTTGGATGTTTAATTTAAAAATTTGTTTAAAATTAATCCAGGTGGATTATAATATAATAATGAAATATAAAATTAAATAAATATGTGGCAACTCAGTCAGCAAAAGTGGGAAGGTAACCTGTACTATGGACCCTGGTTCATATGTATGTATTTTGTGTTGTGACTTTTTTGTGTCTTGCGTTATAAAATATGTACTTTAAGAGTATGATCAAATTATGTACATGGAACATATTAGTAATTGTGTCTTATGTTATGAATTTCTATGTCTCGTGTTGTCAAATTCTGTGCCTATGAACACAAATTATATACCTAAATCATATTTGAAACATAAGTAAATATATAATATGTGTATGTGCCATACGTTATGATTTTTTGTGCCTTGTGTTATGAAATTCTATACCTTACGAGTATGAATTCTGTACCTCATCTTTTCAATCCACTTGGGTCCATAATGATATGCTATGTGTCCTCTGTTGAAATTTTTGTGTATTGTGTTATAAAATTTTGTATCTTACGAGTATGGATTCTGTATCTCATCGTTTTGATCAAGGATCTGTGGTCCATGATATAAATTGCCGGTTTGGCGGCCATTGGATTGGCTTGCCAATTTTATTTATTTTTTTTTTCAAGTTCAATTCAAAATTAAAATTCATATTTGATGTCATGATGTAATGGTTGATAAAATTTAAATTTTCAAAAATATTATATTAAGTGTACATGTAGAATTATTTAAACTTTGTATTCAATTATTAATGTTTGTTTAAAATATATAGACTTATTTGTTGTGTAATTACTAAATCAGTCAAAAGCAAACATTAATAATTGAATACACACAATCAAATAAACACAAAAATAAAAATAAATAAATAAATCATTTAAAGAAACGGAATACGATGAAACGATTAATTATTTACCATGTATTATAGTTCAATTATGTCAAAACAATTGAATTTATGGGCATTCTTTTTGAAGTGGCATGTTTGCCATATAACGGCGAAATGTTTCAACTTTTCACTACCGTAAAAAAAGGCTTCAATTCATCCCTCCCAATATATCACAATCAAGCACAGCATAAATGCAAAGGTGCAATGTATGAGACCATATATATATATATTTTTTAATTTTAATTTAACAATTGGACTTTTCTTTTTATCCTTCAAATATTAAATCATTGGATTAGCAATGAGGATGAATGGGTAGTTATTGCCATTTTTAGATAAGCAATAAGATGGATGATATATAATCAACGAAATGAAAGCAAGTCAAAAGCACTACATGCATGAATTTATGCACACAAAGAATATATGTTACAATGTCAATTACTAAAAAAAAGTAATTAAAAAGTATGTTTATTATATAAATTGATTAGAGACATGCACTACATTTTATTTTTAACAATTGATATTATTTTCTACAACAACGGGCAGAGAGCGAGTAATGTATAGTAATGCTCGCGTGTCGCATATATATTTTTTTATTCTTTAATATCCTCAACTTTGTATTAATTATGTAAAAATAAAGTGTAAGGAAATAAAAGGTGTAAATTGATGTGGTTTGAATTTACTAGGATCCGTTTTGAAAGCATGATATGAAAATGATTTCTGAAAAAAGTTTTCTAAAAAATGAGTCATTTTTCAGAACACATTTTCCTTTCTCGTGTTTGGCTGCATAGCAGAAAACTGTCTTTGTGTGTTTGGTTCATTTTTTCAGAAAATGAGCATAATCAAGGTTATTTTCCTCAACATAATCAAAACTTGGAATTAGCACAAAAAACTCTAGAGACAAGTCATTATCTTCTACATTAAATCAATAGAATTCACAAACAATTCATAGACAAAATAGAAAAAAATTCACAAACAAAATTCACCACTGGTATTTCTGCAAACAAAAGATCTGGTAGAAACCAGACTGGTTTCCGGAAGTTTCCGGCCAGGAAACCATTTTAGATGGTCAGATTTGAAAAAAAAGTCATAAAAATAATTTATGACTAAAAAAGAAGAAGAAAGAAACATACCTGGTGCTAAGAAGATAGCAAGAAAATTAGGAAGAAGAAATATATAGTTGGTGAGGTGAGAGCAGAAGAGGAGGTAAAAGCGTGAGGGCAGAGACGTGATCTGTAGGGAGGGCTGTTGCGTGGTTGGAAAATGGCTTCCCCAAAAAAATGGGAAGTCATTTTCTTAAAAAAAACATACCTATTTTTCTTTGACTAAGATATCTTTCCCCTCCCCTCCCCCCCTCTTGCCAGACACTGAAAACCTGAAAAATGATTTTCAGAAATCATTTTTTGAGTTTCCAAACACACCCTTACTCGATAACTGGTGTGTTTCCTTTAAATATATATATATATATATATATATATATATATATATATATATATATATATATATATATATATATATATATATATATATATTTAACACTTATTTGATGTATATATCTTGCAAAAAAATATTTATGTATATGAACTTTTGTCCCACATTGGTTTGGGAAGTGGATTTGCACCACTATTTATACGAGAGTCTTTCTAAAATTTATTGAATTGTATAGCATAGATGCGCTCTTTGGTGCGGAGGGGGGGGGGGGGGAGGGTGCAAAACAAATCTCAAAGTGAGCCTGATAAGGAGGCTTGATTCGAGCCTGAACTCGTGTACGACGACACGACAGGAGGCACGAGCCATGGTGTTCGGCCTTGGGACTTCGCCGAGAGGAGGTCGAAAGTAGCCTGCAGCACGAGAGTCGTGCAATCCCTATATAAGAAGGGACTAGAGCAGCAGAAATTTAAAACTCTGCTCCAACTCCGTTCTTGCCGATTGTGTTCTACCTGTGCTCTAGTTCACCGGGTTCTTCGTTTGGGTGTTCAAACGTTGAACCGTAGTACGTTTTATCCTGGGAAACCTAGGCTACAACGCTCCTAGCACTTTTGGGAGGTAGCAAATAAGATTTTAAGGAAAGAGTGTTTCGCTCTACTCGTACTTACCCTCTTTCTTCATCTTCTTCTTTCGGTTCAAATGGGTTCAGAAAGGTTGAAATTATAATCTGGAGGATTATAAATTCAATTTTGGTTGATATATATATATATATATATATATATATATATATATATATATATATATATATATATATATATATATATATATTTCGTGTGAATATATATATATTATATTATTTTTGGTAAATCGACTTGGTTCAAATTTTCTAACAGAAATAAAGCTGCAATATGTATAAAATGAAACTGAATAACATGTCTCACAAATTGAGTGTATATTGTCAAATAAAATTATAGTTGAATTTAAATGATACTCTAATTTTGCTGAAATGAAACTACAATATGTTTAAAAAGAAACTGAATAACATGTATCATATATTGAATGTATGTTGTCAAATAAACTGTAGTTATATCAAAATGATACTGTAGTTGTGTTGTAATGAAACTACAGTGTATATAAAATAAAACTGAATAACAGTTTCACATATTTGAGTGTATATTATTGTCCAATAAAACCGTAGTTGAATTAGAATTATAAGTCTGAGCAGTTTTTATAATTTTAGCATTTTGGAGCAATAAACTGTTACAAAAAGCTAATTAATCAAACACTCATATTAATTGTTTAACCAAGTCAAACAACTAATAGTGGTCAAATAAACCAAAATTGGCTGATAGGCTAACTATTGTATGTAATCAACTATCAGCTTGCAAATAATTTACCAAACACTTTTCTACAATCAACTAATGCTATCAACTAGTCAAACCCATTAACCCAATCAGCTAACACTTAACAGCTATTTACCAAACATCCCTATTATGTTATTACATATACAACTAAGTGATCAAATATATAATAACCCAATCAGCTATATTCATGTCCAAATATTAGAAAATTCTCTCTCTAGAGTCTAGACACTTCTAGGGTTTTTCTCCCCTCCTAGGGTTTTGCCTAGGTTTTCCATCACTTCTTGTGTTTTTCTCGGTGATTCTTCTGGTTTTCTCTTCAACGGAATGGCGTCGACGACGAGAGGGGAGGGAGTGGAGCGGCTGACGTAACGGTGGGCCGATATGGATTTGGAGGACGAAGCTGAGGTGTTTGCGCCGGTCATGGCGGCGGAAGGCGGTGGAGGCGAGGCGGGGGATCGGACATGGGCCATCTTTGGCCGGTTCCTAACTGGAAAATTAATCAAACTCGAGTACATGCGGCAAGTTCTTACTTTGGTTTGGCAGCCTGTGCGGGGGGTAAAAGTCTCTGAGATCCAACCTAACTTGTTCCTTTTCGTTGTTTATCATGAAACAGACATGCAGCATGTCATAGATGAATGGCCGTGGTCGTTTGAGAACCGTAGCTAGTTTGCCGTCAGGTTCCCGAGGGGGTTTTGCATGTGAACGTAGTGCTTGACTCGGTGGATATTTGGGTGCAACTCCATGATTTGCCTATGGGTTACACCTCAGAGCTAATCTTGGAACAGATAGGCAACTTTATTGGCACTTTTGTTAAGTTTGATGATAGGTTTGTTGGTGCACCTTGGCTAACTTTCTATCGAATCCGGGTTTCATTGCCAGTGAATCGGCCTTTATGGAGGAGGATGAAGCTTCTCAAACGGGATCTAATGACCTGTTGGGTTAATTTCAAATACGAACGCCTCCGCTTTGAGATGGCCTGGTTGCATGACGATGGTTGTAGGCAGTAGTAGAGGAGTCTTGGGGTGAGGGGCGGGGTATAGGGATTTAGGACTGCATCGAGCTATGTGGCACCCGTCTCTCACGCGGGGGGGGGGGGGGGGGGGGGAGCGTTTTCACAAGTTCG